AATGGCTACCATGAAAGACTTGCCTACTCATAAAATGACTATGTGATAGGCATTCCCTGTCATAAAATACTAATTTGCTATAAAGTAAACTAGCATTTGCCACCCTTATACAAGAAAGAGGACCAAGGTGGATGGAGCCTCTCTATCCAGGAGGGCTCTACAATATATATTAAAGCTAATTAAGAATATTTTGCTCCACCTGTTATGTCTTTGGCCTCATGGACCAAAAACTTGGAATGTAATCCCAGTTCTCTTTCAGACTATAGTTTTAAAAGTTTCCTTTTAAAAGTGGCCTTTAATTAATAGTTGTAAAAGAGAGACAGATTTCCTCTTCAAGGGTTTTCCAATTATTCCCGTCATGCATATCCTGTTAAGCTGGGATCCGTTTTAGCAAGATACTAACAGTCTTCTGTAGATAGCAGATCTGAACAATTTATATTACCTTACCCCTGAAGCAATATCAGAGGCAAAACCGGAGACAAATGATCAGCCATCTCAATAAATGAATCATATACATAACAGACATATCAAAGGCACTCAGATCTTCTTTTTCCTCTCAAATTCACATTCAAATGTATCCCTTTTACTTCTTTGTGTATCTGGAATAATCAAGTGCTATATACCTTTTTTTTAAGTATTTTTAGATCACATATGCTATTTCCTTAAAAAAATATTATTCTCAAATAGTACTTTATCTAGGCAATGGAGATGGAGATAAGGAATTTCACATGTGGGAGCATTCAATGTTTTTTACTTCCAGTACAGTCTTGCTGTAAAATTAAATATTTGCTAGCTCCATGAAAACTAGGCTACATGCCAGCGTGGTACCTGCTGCTTTTCATTGTTACCTGCATCATGTGAATGAAGGGAACAATTATGTGTACAATATAGGATTTACAGTATTTGTATCCCACCTTTCCTCAGAGTAGTCTATTGGGAGTAATCTACTAATTTTATTTCTACAACAATCTTGTAAGTGGATTAGGGCCAGCAAAAGTAACCTATCCTAAATCATGCAATAAATTCCATGGTTGCATAAGAATTTGAATTTAGTTCTTTAGGGACTTCATGCAACACTTTAATCCCTACCTTACACTGGTTGTGTGTGTCAGAGTGACCAAGGAAAAATGTCACCAGTAAGCGTGGAAGGTATGTGCCAAACTTTTTCTCTCTGGCAATGCCTCTCTCCAACAGTCATTTTGTGATTATCAGTAGAAGTTTTATTAACATGCTACTGTAAATGAGTTCATGTGCCTCAAAAGCTTACAGATCCCAACAAACCCAAAGTAGAGTTTTGGATTTAAGTTACTACAAACCCTTATTCACTTTTCCTGTTTATGGAGTAATCAAAGCCTGTCTTTACCGATAAGAATTGTGGAAACCATCAAGAGCCTCAAACATTTCCTTTGTTTGTTTAGTTTTATCCAGGGTCACCATTTGGTTACATAGTTTAAACACATGTCTGTAAAACTACATTACTCTTTAGAACTGGGGAGAGGGTGCTTTGGGGAGGGGGAATGTTTATTTGAAACTACAAATATGCCACTTGTTTTCTCATGA